CCCCGTCAATTGCAATTTTTAACTTGTAAGAATCATCTGAAGACAATGATACCTAGAAACTATAATACTGAGAAAAAAAATGCAGACTCCCAATAGTGGAAGAGATCTAAGAATTAGGCTCATGGATTACAGGATTCTTTATTCAACATTAACTACCCACTCTACCCTCCTAATTATGTCCATGGATACAACTTGGTGTTAGACAGTGTATGCCCTTAGCTCCAATTAGAATGGTGTACATTATGACATTTAATGTAATTGAATAAAGTACATATTTGATTCGTGTTATTATGATGTGTTTCTGTGTAATACCCTTAAATTGGACATATATGAGACTCGTGTTAGTTTAGAATCTTCACAACCATTGGATAGATCTGGAGAGATTTATCCTGCCAAGGCTAACACTGATGTGCCGCCAAGTTGGTTGGGGTGGCTTGTTCCATCTGCCAGGGTGAGACCTGAGGTAAATGCAGTGTGGGTTTTCTTGAAACCCTGAACTAGACCAGAATTCCAGCATTGCCCTGGACCTTGGAGATAGATGGGCAAAACTGAAATGTTACACCTGACCCCTAGACTCTATTATGATACTACACTAGGTGTCGAATTGGGCTGTCTTTGATATGCCAATCAGTGAGATCCTTAGAGGGGGTCCAAACCTGGGTATGTTGGGACAGTCCGAGAATTCATTTGAATGGGTGATCATAGTGACAGGATCAGCCCCTTTGTCGGACAAAGTGAATGATCGGGGATGTACTCTCTCTGATGGAAACCAAAACTACCGGCAATCGATTTCAACCGTTGAAATTTATTTTGCAAAATATATTTATTTATATATATATATATATATTATGGTTTCAAAAATATTTGCAAAATGTTTTAATTCCTGGGATCCATGTGCGTAAAGAGTGCAGCATTGTACCTTACAGCCGAGGGAGATGTCCTCTCTTGTCGGGCAGTGTTTGATCATTATGGGCTGAGAGGTTAAGTGTAAGACCATTGAGAGTAATACCTGATGGGCTAATCTTGCATCTGCCCACAGTCTTTGGATTTTTATAAGGTGGCTTGACCCAATGACCATTTAGTGTAAATGTTGGGCCCATTAAGAGCCAATGGTGATGAACTCAGGGGTTTACTGTCTCCTAAAATGAATTCGCCAGGCCTTGTAACAGAGGCTGGGCTGAACCCATGTGGCTGATGTGTAGATCAATGTTTGGGTCCCACGCCATACAAGGATATCCAATTGGGTAACAGTTGGGAGGATAAGTGAGCACATGGACTTAATGGGCCTAAAGCCCAATTCGAACTACCTTAATTAGATTAATTAAAGAGGGGCGGTTCTGGGATTTAAATCAACAGATAGGGTAAGGGATTGTCCCTATCCACTCAGAAATTCTCGATCCAAATAAAGATTTGGATCAGGAGGCTCCTAATTGGATTAGGAGGGTTGATCTTTATTTGCAGATAAGATAAGGGATTATCCTTATCTCTTGAAGAGAGTCCATATCCAAATACAAGATTTGGATTAGGAAACTCCTAAATAGAGGAGAAGGGCGAACCCCAAATCATCATTCAGTCTTACTGATTCAAGAGAGAAGACAACATACAGTTGGACTGACGCCATCTTCTGCTCTTGCCTTCTCCTGCTATTGCCGCCATTACCAGTTCGATCTCCACCTGTAGGAGCAATCAAGAAAGGGTTCTTGATATCACCTTTTGGCAAAAAAGGTGATATGAAGTCGGGCTCACTCGCCCTCCATCAGATTCTTGGTGAAGAATCAAGTTCTTGCTGAAGAGCCATCCTACTGATTCTGCTCCACCCTATGTTGTGTCATCTTCAGTGGGAACAGTTTTTGGTAATTTCTTTGGGCGTGGACACCTTCCTTGGGGGTTACTACTACTCCGTATCAAGTATATCCCTCTCCTACATTTTGGTTTTAGATCTGGTCTGGTTCAGGTTCAAGATTGATCATTGAAAATGCAGTTTTCTAAAATAGGGAATATGATTCCCACATGGGAGAGAAAAAAAATTTTGAAATTTCGCCCAACCTACCTGTAGGGTTCGGCCATCCATATGATGGATCTCTCATCCCTTCACTTGGATGGGCTCAGGTTGACTTTTGTCAAAATTTTGAATAGGCCCCAAACTAAAGGTCCGAGATCAAAGCAGTGTAAAATGGGACCAACCTGCGTTGCAATAGTAATTGTGTGTTTTCACATGAACCAGGATGGCTTTATGGGCGCCGGCTGCATCTTTAAGTCCATGGACCAGACCTTGGCCTAATACTCTTGGCCCGATGGGCCATAGTAATCACACAATTATTCATCTTTAAAAGCCATAATTAAGTGATTATATAATTTTTTGTTGCTTAGAATGAAGTTCTTAAGGCTCAGTTTAGAAAGAGTACAAATATTAATATGTACAGTACATATTTGTATTTATACTCTTTGGAGCCTTGTTTGAAAATAGTGCAAATACAAATATATATGTTCAATGCAAAGCCTTGTACAGTACTTATATTTGCACTCATTCCAAAACTGAGCCTAATGTTTGTTGTATCTTTCAATACGTTAAAATGAAATAAATTTTACATCAATTCAAATGTGTTAATCGTTTTTACGTATTTATATTTTTCACAAAATAAAGCTAAATGGAATAATACAAAATAAAGCTTTTTTTTTTTTCACAAAAGAGCCCTTTCCTAAAAATTAAACCTGACTGATGTTCAGATTACTTGATTGCCTCCCTTCTAGAGAATAGCCAATTGCTTGTTGGGATTGGAGGGGAATTCTTGATCAACGTGATATAATATTATAATTTGACAAGGTCAAATTTGGAGAATTGGTAATATATAGGATTACATGGTTGAATGCTTCTCTCAGTTTAAATATTAAGGTATCTCCCAAATGAAATTGTTGTTAATTTCACTAACCATCTCAGTGAGGAAAAGTTACATTGCAGCAAATGCTCCACAAGGCTGACTTTTATTTATTTTCTTATTAGTTCAGAATTGGAACAAGGCTTTCTTAAGTTTGTTAGATTTTGAAACTGAAAGCCAAAACAGAGTTGTTGAAATGAAATGGAAAGTTGTATTTCATTAACTTAAATGATCGAATATATGTAGATTTACAGGGTAACCGATTTGCCACACGTGGCTTTATCGCCAGCTGTGGTTTCTTGAATCTTGGCAACCGTCATATACACTTACACCCCCTTCAAGTTGGAGCCTCTCAAAGGCCCAACTTGGAAAGTAATGAAGTAAACCAGTCACGTGACAGTCAGATACACCAATTGACCCACTAATCTCTGGTACTGATGAGTTGGGTCAGAGCAAGTGGGAATATTTGGATCAACAAAGTGTTTTTGTTGTTCCATAGGTGTGAGGCATGGAGTGCAGTCCAGCATGTCTATATCACAAAGAAGATCCATAATGTATTTTTGCTGGCTGAGGTATGTCCCATATTGGGTGCGTGAAACTTCAAGTTCCAAAAAAAAGTGTTAAGGACCCAAGATCTTTGATGCCGGACTTGTCTTTGATGTATGTTTTGAGGGAGGTTATTCTCTGTGATCATTGAGATGGTAAAAAGGGAGTAACATGCAACTGATTGTGTAAAACCAATGGAGGTGAGGGCATGTGTGAATTTTGCAAACCACATGCGGGATGCTTGTTTTAGGCCATATAGGGACTTTTGAAGTTTGCAGACGCTTTTGTCTGAAGGGATGAGAGATCCATCATATGGATGACCGAACCATGCAGGTAGGTTGAGAGAAATTTCAAAATTTCTCTCTCTCCTATGTGGGAATCACATTCCCTATTTTAGAAAACTACATTTTCAAGGATAAAGATAATTCCTTATCCTATCTGTTGATCTAAATTCCAGAACCGCCCCTCTTTAATTAATCTCATTAAGCCAGTTCGAATTGGGCTTTAGGCCCATTAAGTCCATGTGCTCACTTATCCTCCAAACTGGTGCCCTGGGTCCATCACTATAGGCTCTTAATGGGCCTAACATTTACACCAAATGGTCCTTGGGTCAAGCCACCTTATAAAAACCCAAGAATTATGGGCAGATGCAAGATTAGCCCATCAGGTATTACCCTCAACGGTCTTACAGTTAACCTCTCAGCCCATAATGATCAAACACTACCCGACAAGAGAGGACCTCTCCCTCAGCTGCAAGGTATAGTGCTGCACTCTCTACTCACATGGATCCCGTGAATTAAAACCTTTTGCAAACATTTTGAAACCATAATATATATACGTATATCTCTATATAAATATATTTTGTAAAAAAAAAATTAACGGTTGAAATCGACTATCGGCAGTTCTGGTTTCCATCAAAGAGAGTACATCCCCGATCATTCACTCTGTCTGACAAATGGGTTGATCCTGTCACTATGATCACCCACTCAGATGAATTCTCAGACTGTTCCAACATACCCAGGTTTTGACCCCCTCTAAGGATCTCACTGATTGGCATATCAAAGACAGTCCAATCCGACATCTAGTGCAGTATCATAATTAAGTTTAAGGATCAGGTGTAGCATTCCAGTTTTGCCCATCTATCTCCAAGGTCCAGAGCAATACTAGAATTCTGGTCCAGTTCAGGGTTTCAAGAAAACCCACACTGCATGTACCTCAGGTCTTACCTTGACATTTGAGACAAGCCACCCCAACCAACTTAGCGGCACATCAGTGTCAGCCTTGGCAGGATAAATCTCCACAAATCTAACGATTGTGAAGATTCTAGAGTAACACGAGTCTCATATGTATCCAGTTTAAGGGTATTACATAGAAACACACCATAATAACATGAATCAAATATATACTTTATTCATTTATATTAAATGTCATAAGGTATATCATTCTGATTGGAGCTAAGGGCATACACTATCTAACACTGTCACCTTATTGGGCAAAGCCTTGAGGAATGGACATGTAGACTTTTTCATTAAGATCACCATGTAAGAATGCATTGTTTACATCTAGTTGATGAAGGGCTCAACCACGAGTTGTTGCCATAGCAGGGAGACAACGAATAGTAGATAATTTTTCGATTGGAGCAAAGGTGTCATGGTAGTAAAGACCTTCAATTTGTGTATAGCCTTTTGCGATAAGCCGGGCTTTGAACCGTTCAATGGTTCCATCAACTTTGTACTTGATACGATATACCCATTTGTTGCCAATGGCATGCTTTTTGGGTGGCAAATCAACAATGGTCCAAGTATCATTCTTTTCTAATGCTTCAATTTCAGCTGCCATGGCTTGGCACCATCTAGGACCACGAGCAACTTGATGGTAGGTGGTTGGTTCAGTCTCAAGGGATGCAACATTGGATCTAGATATGGATGGTGGGAGATTACACATGTAATCATTTAGCCATGCCAGTAGCATGGTAGTTTGATGAGGTCGAGTAGTGGAAAGGATTGGGATAGTGGAAATGGTGGTGGTGTCAATGGAGTGAGTTGTTTGTGATATTGAGCTTAGGTTATTAGTAATAGTGGGTTCAAAGAAAATGGGCTCAATAGGTGCAAGCTAGGAAGGCTCAGTAGGTGTTTGCATAGGTGTAGTGGGATGAGTGGTAGTTTACTCACAAGGTTCCCCAGGATAATCTGCAACTTCATTGGGTGAAATAATTGGCAATACTTGAGTAGTATTCTGTTCAACCATTTGGAATGGAAAACAAGTTTCATTAAATATGACATAGCTGGAAGTAAATACACAGTGGTTATCAAGATCATACACACGATATCCTTTCTGGGCATGTGGATATCCTACAAAGATGCATTTTGTAGCTCAAGCAACAAATTTATCTGAAGGTTGAGGGTGTATTTGTGAGTAACAAAGACAACCAAAGACTCGCATGTTTTTATATGAAGGTTGGCGGTGAAACAAAGCTTCATAAGGAGAAATGCCTGATAGGATCTTAGTGGGTAAAAGATTGATTATATATGTGGCAGTAAGGAGGCACTCTCCCTAGAAAGAAAGGGGAAGGGATGCTTGAAGCCTCAAAACATGGATTACCTCAAGTAAATGGCGGTGTTTGCGTTCTACTACATCATTCTGTTGAGGGGGTGTCAATGCAAGAGGTTTGATGAATTATTCCTTGAAAAGTGAAAAATTGTTGAAACAATTAAATTGGCAACACACCATATGGCAAAACGCTACAAGCAAAGAACCTGCCTCTGACTTAATTTTCATGAGATAAGCTTAAGTGCAATGGATGTGATAATGTATAATGGTTAAAAAGTAATGTGCACCAAAATGCAAGGGGGTCTTATACCCACCCCAAATGTCATAGTGAATCAAAGAAAATGGAAAATTACTATGTGAATTACTAATTGGAAAGGACAATTGTGTTATCTTGGCTCGGTGACAAGCATCTTAACAATGTGAGGGCACAACAATTGGAATTCTGGAAATGTGAGAGAGAGGTAGTGATGGGAGGAGTGCCCAATCAGCATATGCCAGAGAACTGAGTCATCAGCTGGGGAGACATTGTTGAAAAAGACCTAGGGGCAACTATGAAAAAGTAGGCTGAAACCAGAGATGGTAGAGTCCTCTATGGAACTCACCCGTGCCAATCACTATCTTGGAGTGAGGGTGTACACAGAATGTGGGGAAAAATATAACAACACAATTAAGTTTTTAATTGGCGAATAATTTGACTAAGTAAAAACAAATTGCATTAGAATGACGGAATGTGCAGAACATGGTCAAGTGTATGGTTTCCAACAATTACAGTCCCGCAATGGGCTGCTTGGAATAAACCATCATTAGTTAAATGAATGGGTTTTGTTGTAGCCAATTGTTGTTGTTCAGAAAAGAGGGAAGTGGAAGAAATCATATGATCGGTGGCACGGCTGTCAATGATTCATTCAATGGGATTGGTATGCTTACACGTGGTGGCAACGGATTTTGTAGGGTCCTTGTTCAATAGTAACAAAGGGTGAGAATATTGCTGCATATTGAGACTAGCAATCAGTGATAGTGCATCGGCTATGGAATGAGTCTGATCAGAGGCAGCATAAGAAGCAGGCTTATCCAATCTTGGAAATGATTTGTCAGTCTTTCACCAATTCTTGTTCCAGTTGGCTGGGTAGCCATTCAACTCGTAGCATTGATCATAAGTGTGACCAGATTTTTTGCAGTAGTCACACTTGTATCGTGGGCGAGATCCAGAATTATTCGGTGCTCGTGAAGTTTCAGAAGATTTGTCGAATCTTGCATTGAAAGCTGTTGTTTCAGACTGTAGTGGTCAAACAGAGACAATCCGTTGATGACGCTCTTCTTGTACAAGCAACGAATATGCTTTGTTGATTGTCGGCAAAGGATCTGAACTAAGGATATTTGATCGTATGGTGTTATACGAATCATTTAATCCCATTAAAAATTGAGTTTTTAATGGAGTTTCTCATTCTCTCTTTCGGCCATGAAAGCTTTGATGCTCCATAGGTGCATTCCGGATGGGTGACTAGTGCCCCAAGCTCGTCCCATAGTGTCTTGAGTTTGGTGAGGTATGTGGTGATGATTAGATCGCTTCAACTGATGAATACGGGGTATATTACCTTGTGAGAATCTTTTTCCAATTCTTTCCATATTTCAGCTGTACAGTCATGAATGCCACACTGTTGTATAATTCCTTTTACAGGGAATTGAATATCCAAGCAACTACCATTGAGTTGCACTTTATCCAGGCACTTTCCTCCGTGCTGATTCAGGTGGCTTTGGCAGCGATCCATCCACAAATACGAATTTATTCTTGGCATAGAGAGAATTTTTCTTTGCCCGCTGCCACATCGAGAAGTTATCTAAGAGGTGTTGAAACGAGCATGACTCCTGGGCTATCGAACAGATGAAGAAAGAACGACGAATTGCTTCTGAAATCCGACGACATGGTGGTAATTCTTCTTCTTCGCAGCGGCGGATCACCGCTCTGATACCATGAAAGCCAAAGCAGAATTCTTGAAAAGAAATGGAAAGTTGCATTTCATTAACTTAGATGATCGAATATATATAGATTTACAGGGAACCGATTTTCCACATGTGGCTTTATGGCCAGCTGTTGTTTCTTGAATCTTGACAACCGTCATATACATTTACAGTTACAGAAACTTAAAAAGCTAATAATTGAAGAAAACTTGAAGATCATGACTGCAAGATCACCCCAGAATATATATATATATATATATATATATATATATTTCGAAACATGCATGTATTAAAAATGTGCTAATTATTAACTGATAACATAACATTAATTCAAAACTCAAATAGCGTCTGGTTCGTGGTCTACCAGCTTCCAGGATCCATCTTCCCCTTGAATCATCCCCTTATTCTTCTCACACCACCACATCATAGGTACAAGATATTCGTCTTTCAGTGCATCAGTAGACTTATTCACAAGCGAAATATCACGCCCAACTTCCAACTTGAATCCACCTTTAGTCCCTTGAGTTCCTGCAACTCCATGCAGATAGCCCTCCATGTTATGCCAATTCCCTGGATCCACTGAACTCTTCAGAAATGATGACTGTCTAGTGTCAATCACTAACTCTTGTCCAACATCTGAATAGCCTACCAGTGGATAGTTGGGTACCAGGTCTAAACTGTTACGAACTCGCAACAGTCGAAGATTTTCCAGACTTGAAACCACCTTCTGGAAGTTGGCGTCTCCAACTCGGGGGCAGCCAAACAGAAAGGCTGTAACAAGACAGGCCTTTTCTGGGTGGTCTTTGGGCTTGTTCACTCCATTGGCGACGATATCAACTGCGTTTAGTGTTCCAAGCGCTGCACCCAAGCTATGACCGGTTACGGTTATACTGATTTCCTCATCCTTGAATTCCTCAACCAATCTCTTCACCTCTTCCAGAACCTGATCAAATTCATTTCAATCACCGACGATTTAGCTAACTCAATTATCTTTTCTCATCAGTTGTTATATATAATATAGACTAAAAAACAAGGTAAATTTATGATTGTTTTCACCTGTTGTCTAGCACTGGTTGTATTGTAAGCCGACCTTGGATCGTCAGAAGTGTAGATAGACAACCAACCCTGGTGTACGTTTGGATCATTTTTGGTCCCCAGTATCCCTGAAGCTGAAACCAAGATGAAGTTGAAATCATTAATCCATTCCAAAGCTTGAACGGAACCCCTCCAAGCAATCAGAATGTCTCTCCTGCCAAGCACAGCCTTCCCTTCGTCGGTGGCCACTGCAACGTAACCCATCCAATTCGACTCCCTGCTCCACGCTTCCCTCGATAATGACTTGATGATAAATGCATCCGGGACATCGATCCGAGATGTAGCGTACAGAAATTTGGTTACGTTGTATTTGTATGGATTGGCTTTTTCTAGACCCAGCTTTGAAAAGAAGTTAGCCTTTGAATACCGGCTGCTTCCGGCGAACATGGAGGCCTTCTCGCTGTTGAAGGTGTCATAGGTTGCCTGAGCCCTCTCGCCGTATTGAATGATGTTTCGCCGCAGATCAACGTCGAGAGGGTCTAACAGGTTCTTCCAATTATTCTGTCCATTAAGCAGTTTCCATCGTGTAGCTATGCTTTGGAGCATCTTCCGAACTTCAAACCGGATCACAGTGATGAAGAATGTTTTAGCTAGAGATCTATATTCCTTTTCATAGGTGCTTACCAGACTATCTAAATGCTTCACTTCGAACGACGTTTGAAAAAAAAAATAGAAAAGGAAAACAACAAGAAAGAAATTAAACAAAAGAAAAGAAATCCTTACACACAATATTGTATTTTGGAGAGCTTGCTTGTCATTCTGGTAAAACCTTGGAATGTTCATACATGTTTTAAAAAAGTAGCAGAGGCCAATCTGATAACATTAGCTTACTTTAAAATTAAACTTAACACTTCTTAAAAAAATTTAAAACATTGGTTGGTGAGTCAGGTATTAATAATATTCCAAGATTGTATTGGCTAGTCAAACCAGTTCTGTGCAACAGTTTCAAGTTGTAATTTATGCACAAGCACAACCCGGTCTGAGATCAGAAGAATTAATCTTGATATGAAACTTGCAATGTGAAGCCTAACTCCATCACCATCTAAGATTAACCAAACTGCAAGTATATCTATAAAAAAAAAATACTTATATACTGAAATAAATGTCAACTCTGCCTTCATTTTCAAATTGCTTGGTTGCAGTTCTAAGAGATTACACCTATAGGCTATGATAGTTGGTGTATGATTTTCTTTAGATATGTACTAATTATTTAGTTCTGTTTTTCATTAGCGAAGGTAGGTGCTTGGTAATGCTTATACGTCTTAGACTGAGCTACAAGATCGATTTCGATTGGATGGTCAAGATGGATCGGGATATGTGCCACATCTACAATGATTTATAGAAGCAAAAGCCACCATCAGTCTATCAATCAATATCATCTATTAGCTTGTAAGCATGAACAGCCACCCAAAGAATCTAGGTTGTCAACACTCAGTAGTGCTGCTTGATCTTCGTATTTACATAATTGCAATAATTAGGGATTCAACTTTGACGGGTTTCAAATTAGGAAATGTTTGAGAAAGGTTAGCTGGAACTTGAAGCCCAAAGTCGGATTGGATTAAAGGTCAGGTTTTCGGTTATGTTTGAGAAAGTTGACTTTAGCTTATTAGGTTAGAGATGAGGCCTTGACCCTTGGGCAACCTGACTTAGACCCCAAAGCTACGGTTTATGCTTGTAGTTATATCAATATATTAAGAAAAAAAATGTTCACTTGGACTGTGGTTATACGGTGCCAGCTCAACATTTTAAATACGTTTAACAAAAAAACATAAAAAGAGTTGGTTGGTTGAGTCTTTTGTCAGACAAATGGCTCATTTTTAAGACCGTTAGAGCCATTTATCAAAAGAAAAAGTCAAAATCTGACTTTTTTCATTTTTATGACCGTTTTCTTACTGCTTGGCTTATATGGTGCCTAGTGGCACGTAATGGTGCTGAGGTGTAAAAAAATCTTATAAAACGTTTAAAACAGATTTTATCTCATTTTTCAAGATAAAATCATATAAAATGCCATCAATACCAAACAACCACATAATTTTCTTGTAGTAAAGTGCCTAATTAGCTATAGATGAGCCGCTTAGAGGGCTGTCTATTTCAGTCTCTTCGAATAGCTTAACTGGAGTGCCTCACAATCATATGACTTCTCTTTGTCCGTCTTCTTAAGCATCTAAGCCTGCATTTGGCATTCCTTATTTTAAAGACTTATATCTTTTTTTTACGACTTAATTTTTAGGTTGTGTTTGGTTGCAGTGCAATGTTATTTGCACTAGTATAAATGCAAGGGAATGCAAATGAAAAAAATGTAAATTCTCATTTAATTTTGTTTTGGATTTTATTTTATTCTGCTTCATGTCTTAAAATTGCAATCAAACAAAATAAGCTAAATTTGAAAGAGGTGTAAATCGGGCCATGCCGCCTGTAGCACGGCACGGCCCGGCCCGGCCCAATGGTCACAGACCATGCCGAGCTTGGAGTTTTAGGTCCGTAGGCTAGATCAACCCGACCAGTAGCATGGCCCAGCATGACCCATATATATATAATATTATATAATAATATATAATATATAATATATTAATAAAATAAACAATTGTTTTCAATTTTATTATACTATTTTATTTAAGTATTGTATATATGAACAATTGTATACATCAAAATTCATATAAAATAAAAAATTTTAAGATTTTTTTTCAATATTTTTAAATAAATAGCTTTGGCCAGGTCCATGGTTTGGCCCATAGACCAACTCAGCCCATGGCACGCTACGGACCCACGTGGGCTTAGGTCGTTGGCCATGCTTGGTTGACCTCCCAAAATATTCCAAGGGAGGGAGGCACAACCTGGGACAGCCCGCAGGCCGTTTTACACCTCTAAATTTGAAACAAGAATAGATTAGACTTTACATTGAAATCATTTGCATTGCCATAGTTTCACATCAGTGCAAATTTATTTGCATTGCAACCAAAAACAACCTTAACTACAAAAAGGAGTTTGAATCAAAGCTTCTTCAAATTAAGCAGTTGAATCAAAGCTTCTCTCTTCAGCTCAACCCTCCCATACGGACCCCCTAAATTAGGGCTTTATGCTTTATAGGCATTGATGTTGTTCGACTCGAGGTGTTTCGAACCGATGACATTAGATAGTACTGCCAACCAGGCGAGGCCGAGGTGGAAGGACAGAGCTGTGCACTGAGATCTATAACCTAGAGAAAGGTCAAAGGCTCGAGGAGTTGTTCCCCGGGTAGGTACTTCGATGCTTAAGTCATTAGGGTAGAGAAGGATGCAACCGGGACGAGCAAGTTGAAATAGCATTGGTCCAAGTCGAAGAGATAGTGTAAAGAGGTCATTAAAGATTGGTTATGAAAAATCCCTTACCTCGACTGGGGAATAACTATTAATAGTTGGGTGTTCGTGTCCTAAATGGATAGGGCTCCTTGGGTTGTCAAGATGAAGGTGCCTGCCAAGGTCTTAGGGTGGTTTCCTTTTCCCTAACAAAGTTCACTTCCTTGACCGTGTGGGACGCTCCTTAGTCATGCTCTTCTGTTACATATGGCATCGACATGGCTAGAGAGGGGAGCGGCCGTAGAGATGGACATGTGACATTCTTGGCTAGCTCAACCATCACCCGAACACCACTCCCTTGTCCTGAAGTCGAGGAGTGTAGTGGTGCTCCGGTCGCAATATGGAAGAGTTCTACGATCCATGGCTAAGGAATTCTAGTTTCTTTGAGTTGACTAGCTTAGGGTAACGCCGGCTCGCTGGGTGGACCATTTAGTTCAATGCTAGTGCCATTTCTGTTACGAGTTGGTGGATGCATCGTTTCATCTTCTCGAGGTCACGCCCGTGCGAAGTGCAGCATCAAATTGGTGCCATTGATTTGAGCAGATTTGGACTATTGGTTCTTCCTATAATAGGGGAGGTGGCAAGCCATTTTGCTTTGTCATTTTGAGTGAGCAATCATAGGAGCTCAGTGAGAGTTAGTCCTCAGCTAGTGCTTTAGGTGTCCCACAATGTAACTCTTTAGTAAGATGTCTTCATCTTCCTTCTTGTCTTTTGTTCTTCCTCTTTGCTTAGATCTTGCATGTCGAGTAGTGAGTCCGAACCAGGGTCTCACCCTGAGGCAACCGTGCTCATGGCCCGTGAGATCGATGCCAACGAGGCCGAGGTCGATGTGCCTGAGGGTGAGGGTGCCGCGGTGGAGGAGGTTGTGGCCCTCCGAGAGGCCAAGGTCGAGGAATCCGACGAGGCCAAAGTAGACATTATGTCAAAAGAGGGGCTTGGTGCTCCTGTTTGGTTCAACAACCACTTTGCATCTTCACCTTGTAGGTTGATACCTGGAGACCTAGCCCAAATTAGGGCCCATTACTGCATTCCCGATGAGTACGAACTGAGGCATCCTAGCATTAGTGAGAGGGCTACCTTGACTTGGCTGGGGGAACTTTGCATCTATGAGCACAACTTGATAGCGGGGCTGAGATTTCTTTTGAGTGAGGCTATCACAACGGTGTTGAGGTGGTACGACGTCCAGCCAGTCAAGATGGTGCCCAATTTCTTTAGATACTTGGTTAGCCTCATTTGTTACTGCTTGGTTCACAACGTGGACATCACCCTGCCTATGTTCACATACTTTCTACACCTGAAGAAGCACTAGTAGGGCAATTATTACTTCTTGGCTCAGCAACACAATTAGATGCTCATCAGAGCCCCCTCCTCAGTGAAACATTGGAAGGAGGGGTTCTTCGTGCATTGCTCAGGGGGGTGGCCATTCCCTGCTGAGTTGTTAATCTCAAGGACCAAGGTGAAGGCATTGACCGAGGCCAAGCTTTCTAGGGAGGAGTTAGCAACCATCAAGCAGATAGAGAGGGTAGACGTGTAGGAGTACACATCGTTCTCTATGTTGATCCATACCAGGCCCATGGAGCCCCCAATTGGTCCATCATTGCTTTTGTAAGTGTCTTTCTTCTTGTTTCATTTCTTCAACTTTGACTGACTAGTTTTCTCTACTTGATATGGCGGTCATTGACGAGGAGGAGAGAACGAGACGCATGCAAGCTATCGTGTTGAGGGGGCGGCGGCCTAGGCTGGGGCGGTTCATCAATAGCGCCACTTTAATGTTATAACTCCTCGACAGCATAAGAGGCCAAGGCCTAATGAGGGAGATGTGGTGGATGTCGACTCTAACGAGTTTTCACCACATGTTGTGCCTTAGTCTATGCCACGGGGAAGTCTTGAGATCTTGTCTAGTCTAGCAGAGCCGGCGGCTGAGGTGTACATGCCAACCTGGAGTGCTTGGCACGAGGACACTCAAGAAACTGAGGGCATGCCCGAGTAGCTAGCTAGGGGAATTCTATTGCTGACATCCGTAGGGAGACCAATAATTATACGAACGGGGTGCTAGAGAGTGTAGTCATCAGGGAGTCTGTCATGGTAAGACTCTTTGCATTGTCTTTTCTGTTCTTCGGTGTGATTTGCTATGCTTATTGACTTGCATTTTCCATTTGTAGGTTGTATGTGTGGTGATGACAATGGTTAACCGAATGTGCACCCTTCGTTAGATGGTCGAGGCTTGGGAGGGCGAGTTCTCCCATCTGCATGCAAAGATGGCTAAATTGAGGCAAGCAGTAGCGACCAAGAATGAAAAGAT